TAAAAAAAAAAAAAAAAAAAAAAAAAAGGAATTGTTGAATGCTGGCACGAAAAGGGTCAAAAGAGAATAGATGGTGGGTGGTCTGATAGAAATGGAAGGAATCAGGATGCTCGATGATTCTCAACAAACTAGGAAAGAATGACTATATGTAGTCTGGTGGTCCTCTCAGGTAGTCTTCTCAAATAGTCTTTTTATATGTCTTTTTAGTGGTCTTTTCAGTGGTCTTTTTAGTGCTCCTTTTTTGGTAGTCTCCTCAGGTACTGACGTGTTTCGGTCGATTCCGTGGAATGCGAAACATACTAGTACGCAACTGAATGATCACAGTCTGGACTAAAGATACGATGGATGAGTTAGACGATAGGTACTGCGATCTCCCCGCTAAACTGACCCGAGACTCCCAGGAGGAACGATTTCTTTCTAGCACCGCTGGTTGTTGATAGGATAAGCCAACGATCCACCAAGGCAGGGTGTAGGATAGTCAAGGCTAGCGTGTCGCAATTTATTGAGGGGGTTAAGTCACCCGCACATTGCTTCGCTCAGGTTGCGCTCAGCGAGTGGATCAGTCTCCTCGTTGAGCCAAAAGCGGCGAGGGACTAAGAACGAAGAGGGAAAGGGAAAGGGAAAGCCAAGAAATAGCATAGGAATTCCGGTACATAGATATACACAACGAAGAGCCCAAACCACGTCCGATATCAGAGTAACCACAAGCACACCATGCGACGTATGCGAGGACGGACAAAGGGCAGGTATCAGAGACAAGCAAATCAAGAGAATCAACCACTAATCCAAGAGGTGACACGCGATGCTCCGAAACGACCCACGTACTGCAGGCCGGTGCTGCCCATGGGGAAATAGCTGACGAGGTACCAGACGAGGGCAGCGAGCTGGAAGATCGAGGAGATGAGAGTGAGGAAGAGGTTCTGAAGCTAAAGCACACCCAAAAGAGATGTCAGTAAGCAAGAGTTTCTAGAAAAGGATGTATTGCCAAATGTGGCAAGTGGATGGTGTGTAGTTGTGATATGCAGGTAAAACAAGAGGACCAAGTAGTCAGGAACGGTGAGACATAGATTGATCTCGATGGCTCTGGACTCCGCGCTCTGTCACACCGGGATGTGTCGGACAAGGTGAAGTAAGGGAAAGGACATCCAAGTCCCGCGCCGTGGTGGGACGTGGTACAGACGCAAGATTCAGAGCAGAGAGACTGGCCGAGTGCAGGGTGGGATGGATTCGAAGGAGCACAAGCCGTGGTTTCAGGTTGTACTGCGCGATGGATGTGAAGGCTGCAAGATTCCCCTTTTCCCGGTAGTGCAGTGCGACCATACGGACTCGGGTAGAGCGAGGGGGAGCGAGTGTGCGACAAAGAAGGAAATGCAGAGGGGGGTATCATGAGGGGGAGGGATCGTCGACATGCAACGAGATGAAGCGTAAAGACCAAACACGAAATCCAAGTCCGAAAACGAAAGCTAAAGAAAAAGAAATCAATTTTACTTACCCCGATGGCGAAGTAGAGCGTGAGGGCGATCGATCCGAAATAGGCCGCTGTGAACGGTAACCGTGTTCCCGATATCAAATGCTTAGCGTAAGTCCACGGTCCCATGAGGACCGCCCATGATAGCAAAAACAAGACTGAGCCGACGGACCATCTAGTAGAGAAACCTATTAGCAAGAGATATCCAAGACCTGAGACGAATGTTCTTGGCATGAGGCGCAGATATAGGTCGAGGTCAGGACCAATCAGCTTGCGGTGTAAAGTACAAAGGCGCACATGGCCCCAACCAAGATTGACCGATGACCTGGTCTATGGCAGCTCGGGATTTGCCCGGTCGTCCGAGAGCATGAGATAATAGGGGGAAAAAGAAAAAACAAAACAAAACAAAACATGGCCATAGGAAGCCGGGGAACATAGCCCACATTAATGTGGGCTATCGCGGAGGCAACTTACAAGACCGCAAATTTGCGGGGCTTGAGTGTCAAGACCGGGAACAAGAAGAAGCAGAGCATGAAACAGACAGCGGCGCCCAAATTACATGCAGCAAAGATGAGCATGCGGTCCCACCGACTCACTATACGCAGTCCGTGTTAGTGTCTTTCTCTCTTCTTCTATCGGCGCGCAACCACATAAACAAGCATGGTAATAATCCTCCCGGCGCAGGAACTGCAGTCTCATCACCTAGATCACGCAACGGTGTGCGGGAGGATCTGGGGATCGGAGGGTCACAAGACAGAGGGGGAAAAGAACGTACAGGCAAAGAAGCCCTCTTCTTCTTCCCGTCGAGTGGCTGCTGGCAATGGGGCCCCAGGACCTTCATTGTGAGTGGGCAGTTGAACATAACCGCCTTCGCCGAACGGGTTGTAAGACTGTAGACGAGATAGGAATGGGGTGTTCGATGACGCGCCAGTGTGTACGGGGAGATCCGGGTCTCTACGCGACCATCCCAGTGAGTTGACAGAGTCTCGGAACGAGTTATTCGCCATGTTTGAGACTAGTTTTAGTCAGGTCTTAGTCAAGTTTTAGATGCCAAATGAAACGAGTAGAGGAGCGTGCACTGCTGCGTCTGCAGAGAAGGCTCGTGGTCTAGGAAGTCAAGACCAAGAGAACGGTCTGCAGGGACTATGCGAGATGGAGTGCAGATGATCTGCGTCGGGTGGTGGATGATCCTCAAGGATTGGCTAAAGGCGGGGACCTAGTAAAGTCAACAGAGGGGCAGATGACGACTGTGTCGAATGTGGATTCGGCTTCCGATGAGGCTGGGACACGCCGTGACTTGGTTCGAATGGGGGCCACTTTCGAGGAAGGTCCTCCAACTCGAAGATATGCGGTCAAGATCGAAAGACCAAAGGTTATGAATATGGCAGGCTGATAGGAAAACTTTATGGACAACCTCCCCGACCAAGAAAAGGGCTGCCTATTGCACTGTGATAAGGCGTCAGCCCAACGGATCTGCAGCTATCTCTGCGGAGCCGGCGATGACTACAGGGGTAGCTTGGGAGTCCTCCGGCGCGGCGCAAGAGGATCGCAATGGGGGATGGGCCGTGGAATAATGCGAGATAAGCCGACCAAGCGGAAGATGGGAAGTGTCGAACCTTACGGGCACAATCCGAGAAGGGATGGGAAACGAACACGGCGTAGGGAGTCGACAGGTGCTGATTGGACAAGGAAGCGCTGCGCTATCGATAAAGGAGGGTAGGAAGACGAGGGGAACCAAGCAAAATGACGAGATGGCGTGAAGCTACCGATGCGACCAACCCGATCGGCACTAAGTGCTGAAGCTGTCAGATGATGGATTCCAGTGTTGGGGTACAAAGCTCTCGGACCGAGCCCTGTGGGGTTATTGACCAGGATTATCCTTATAGAAATATTACCAGAGGAATGAAAGAAATATACATCACTTACCAGGGTGAAATGTTGCCTAAGTGATAGAGGTATAAGTTGTATGGCAGATGGGCAGTTCTGCAATGAAGTCGGGGAAAGGAGACCAGTGCCCAATATGGTTTAGCGCTAAATATATATCAAGTATACCTTGGAAGTATATATCCTCAAGCGCTATAATCAACTTCACATATTATTTCATGTTTTTATTTATTCTCAGTTATTATTATGTTATAGCAATGTAGGCAATAGCTGCTATTGTACATATTTATTTCCTTCGCGCTATAACCGCTGGAATTTATCAAAACCCTTGATATGCAGAACTATACTTTCTAGATTCTTGTTGCATATTAAATCAAATCGACATACTTTAAATGGAGTTCCGTGTAACTTACATTACTATAATATTAATGTACAATATAATAGTCTTCCTTACTATACTCGATCTGGACTCATGACCACAATTGATCGTCCCCCTCTTTCTGCGACTTTCAATCGTTAGCGGCCCACTGTCGATCCTCCATGGCTGATGCACACCCTGTGGCGATCGGCCGTAACTGTAACAGTAGAGTGCAAAGTTCTTATATGGACAGCCCTGCAGAAGCATTTATAACGGCTTGCGTTGCCGGTAGTCGTATCGGAAGAACTCCGTGGAGGTGATGTTCTAAGGTTGCATACCCATTATATAACCTTTTGCCTGACTGTATTTATGTAGCTACCCGTGTACCACCTAGGGGAATTATCCGATAACCATAAGGGCGCTAATATGCACTCCGGACTGCACCGTGGGTAACATTGGCACTAGCCTCATTGTTTCTGCTTTTACTTTTTCTGTTTCCCTGTTTTCCCTTGCATTTTAACATCTGCTTTACTTTGTATTGGTACTCTGTAGAATGTCCGATGCACAAGTCGGTATATCCGTGACCCCCCCGGAATGGAGTGCGACCTTAACCACGTACGATGTCGTCATATCAGGGTCCTGTGCACGGGTTAGTCTCAACGTCCTAAGTGGGATTGAATATCAAAGTAGATCTTGAAATACAACCCTCCCTTGCGTCGACCATGGATACTATGTATATGGCCGAACCTTGACGGGACGGGACGTCAGATCCATTTCCCCTCCAAAACGAATGGAGAACAGTCTCCATCTGGCGATCCCAGAATAACTATCTCCTAAACCGGAGTGGCTCACAAAGAGGGGAAAGTTTCGCGATGTGGCTTAGCACAGTCATACCAAAGTGAGGTGTATTGCTTTCATTCACTATTGGTGGAGGGGTCTGGAGACACATTCCAACCCCTCCAATTGTCTCTCTCCACTACATTCTATTCTATTTTCTGATTCGGATGAAGACCGAACGGTTAAGTCCGAAATCCGAACTTACCAACTTCGTTGAACATTCTAAAGATTCCAAATATATTGAACATTATTTTCTTTGCGGCTATATCCCAGATCAATACCCATGAGTTCGCCTCTTACGTAGAATAAAAATAAAAGAGACTAAGTGTGTAGTCAGAGCGGAACAATATGAAGGTCCAAGCTCCCTTGAAGATCACAGCGAGATATGATCGTCACTCCAGGTCTCCTCTCTGCACGACATCCCACATGAAGAACAGACCGCACTGATCCTCTTGCAGAGTTGCTTATGGATGTGGTCTGTGGGCTATTGATTTTTTCTTTTTTTCTTTTGTATTTTCTATTTTTCTTTTACGTATATACTAGGATCTTGTCCAATCTCGTCTACCTCTGGTATTGCCAAGGTAATGGGATTATGCATCTTATGTTCTCCGGATGATATTTGCGATTAACAGTTATTTTCGCATGATGATAGTCTATCTCTACCTCTGTTTTGAATACTAGTACTCTGCATAGTTGATGAAATCAACCATGTCCACATGGTCTCATTTGGGATCTTGAATATGTTCTGCAGGCTTCCACTCTGATAGATTAGGGTTTCCTACCAGATGGGTTCTGGTATGCTTGTAACCCAAAGACCTCATCTGATACATTCTTGCTCTATTCAAGACACCCGTGAGTCATGATAGTAGTAACAGGTGACAAATATCCCAATATGTATCATGGGATGGCCGCCGTTTTACTTGATCCGGCTGTATCACCCTTCCCCCCTTTGTCCAAGGTTGTTTTTGATTTTGGGTGAATATGATTATATCTTTTTTTTCTCTTTAGTCATGTACTATTTCCTTTATTATTATTATTATTATCTATGTATAGTACCAAAAGAGAAAAGAGGCTCGGGGGTTTTACCGTTGCCACCCCTCCTTCACCCAAAATCCACTCACACCCATTTACACCCTTTTTCCCTTCTGATCCAGATGGTAGTAGTCAACTCAATATTAAAATAAAAATAAAATTCACTGTCCGATGGCGTAGGTGAATCTCATCGATTCCCACCGATCGACGGGCTGCATGACCGATGTTGTAATATATCAAATGAGAGATGCAGAAGAGCGCCGCTTGAGTTCATAAAGTCTCCATCCCCTCGGTGTCTGTCTGCGAAACCTGCAAGTGCTTTTTCTCTGAGTTGTCACTGCATACTTCTATTCTCGAACTTTTGATTCGCAAAGACTTTATACCTCGTGAGCTCCTTTGATATATCAAGGTACGTGTCAAGTCTTCATATATGACATGTTCCCTTTGTTCCTGCGTCTGATCTATGTCTGGTCTCCACGTGTGAATGGGGCTCTGCTCATATATTTTCCATATCTTGACCTGCATGCTTATTGAGATGTGGGATGTCTAGTCTTGATCTTCTGCTAACGTCAACACAGGTCTATACTACATATATCTAGGTATACTTATACCAACTTCATATGCATCTCTTCTGGTAGGTACACTATTTCATCAATACCAAGCCCAAAATGTTCTTTTCTTTTGTTATCGGGGAAGTAAGCACTTGCGTCAACTCGTGTTCCGATTGCAATCCGAGCGCATCAAATCCCGAGCAGACACCCCAGGGGTCAAGGCGCAAGAGACATCCGATCCAAGGCAAATATACAAGGCAAATGTACGAAGGTGAAGATGAAGGTGGACTACGAGGCTATATATAGACGAGGCCAACGTTCTCGAAAACTAGATCCATCTCACCGCCCTCCCACCGCTTGTTCCCCCACTCTTCTCCGGACTTTGTGTTTTGCATCTGAATCAACTGGGAATATCCAACAACTAGGATCAACCGGGATCAAAAACTGGGATTGAGTGCCTAATTCGGGCTTGGTTTACTTCCGGCTCGTTTCTGGTCTTTCGGTCTTTTATCTTCTCTCTGGTCCCTGGTCTTCTTTCATTTCTCATTTGCGCACTGCTCGGCTTTTTTTTTCTTTATCTTTCATCGCTTACACAGTTCTTTAGAACTTTTCCAAGATTCTCTTTGCGCCTTCTGCCTTTGCGATTGCTCAAGACACGTTTGTGGTATCTAACGACCTCCATCCTCGGTTGTCGACTCATCCCGGCTTTCAGAGGAAATTTCCCCGGCTTATTGGGACGTCTTACAATCTCCCCGGACTTCATTCCTCCGATCCTTATTGTTCCAAGGGTAATTATTTGCATTCCTTTTCTGGTCTATTTTGCATTTTATTGGGTTGCCTGTTTTGCCTTGCGCACGGAGGCCACATATTCAAATCGCCGGGCGGGGTCGAGTCTTGACTAACATCTTTTCCATACACACAGATCGTGAGATTCTCACATCCGACACCTCCTCCATCCTCTTCAGTATCGGGCGTCTCGGACCGCCTAACTTTCGACAACTGTCACGGAGAGTCAGTAGGATCGGCACTACGACTCGTCCCTTAGCCCCTCGCCGATCTGCGCCCCATCCCAAACCCGCCAAGATTGTTTCACCGGGCGATGGCTGAAGCGAGTCTCTTCATCAAACACGAATCCGACGACTACACCCCTTTCATCATGTCACACTCGGGTTACTCGATGGGTAACCAATTCCCCACCGATGGGGTCGATCCATCCGACTTGACCATGCAGCAGCAGAATGGTTTCATGCCATACTCTTATGGTTCGCAACAGAACATGTCATCAAGCTTCAACTTCGGAAACTCCGGTATCGACACAGACGAGTTGCTGGATCTCGAGATCAGCGGCCAGAACGGTCATCAGCGCGATAATGTGAACTATCTTCAGGACCAGTCTGCTGGTGGTATCGCGATGAGTCACCAGAGCCAGATGTCGCATATGTACTCCAACACCCCGGATAATGCCCCCATGGCCAGCCCATTCGTTCAGAACAGCTTCAACTATGAGCAGTACCGCATGAACCAGCAAAATCCCCACATGCACAATGCCAGCTCTTTCGACCAGAATTACCTCGGCACCAAGCGCCAGAGCTTGCAAGGCATGGACCGTCCTTCATCTGATGGCCGCAGCCCCATGACTCCAAAGACACCGGCACTGGGTTCCTTGACATTGGGTACCCCTGAGTCCGGCAGCTTCCCGTCCCAGCCTATCCGGACCGGACTTCAGGCTCGTCACCAGAAGACCCTGTCCAACCAGTGGGATGGGACCCCTGGCAGCGGACAGTCGTACGTCGAGTCCTCTCCCATCTCATCTCCTCCCCACCAATCGCACCACACTGGAATCTCCGAGATCCTCAAGTCTGGGAAGCATGCCTCACTGCCCGCTAAGGTTGACACCCACCTCCCTGGCGGTGGAGATCTCGAGTCCCAGGAAGCCAAGCGCCGACGTCGCCGTGCTTCGCACAATCTGGTCGAACGCCGCCGACGCGACAACATCAATGAACGTATTCAGGATCTCTCCCACCTGGTTCCTCAGCACCGACTAGAAGACGACAAGGTCCGAAAGCAACTTGTGAACAGCAGCGCTCTTTCCATGGCCGGCGCAGGCGGAAGTGCCGCCACATCACTTCTTGCTGGAGGCAACGGCCGCCGTGCGACAGCGGGTAACATCACAATGGGTCTCCCCATCGAAGAAAAGGAGAAGGGTCCTAACAAGGGCGACATCCTCAACGGTGCCGTCAGCTGGACCCGCGATCTGATGTGGGCCCTGCACGTCAAATACCAGCAGGAAGCGGAACTCGCCGAGCTGATCGGCAGCCTGGGTGGAACCTGGCCTTTCGAGCAAACCGAAGAGGAGAAGCGCATGCGCAGCGAGATCCTCGATGCGCTGGAGAGGAATGATCCAACTTCCTTCAGCTACACCCGCGGACCAGGTAGCGGTCTGCGCGTCCCCAAACACACTAACATCGCCGGCGATGCCGTGCAGGGCGGCGACATGTCCGGCCTGACTCCTCCCAGCCTGAGTCCTTCATTCCACAGCGGCACCAGCAGTGCCAACGGCGCTGGCCAGCCTCAGTACTGGAACAGTGCTGGCCATGCTGCTATGAGCTTCAAGGAGGAGGACGAGTACGGCATGGAGATGGGCTAGATGGCTCGTCACTGCATTTCTTATTTGGTCATTCGAGTTGACCTTTGCATACACGGCGTATTAATACGGGGACCGATTAGTCGGCGTACCAGGAGTGAAAGACAAGGGGGCTCATGGTTTCTTCTTTTTCTTTTCAATTTTTCTTTTTTGCGTTGTGATTAATGCATCTATGTCAGTACGAGTAGTTCTCTTCTCTTATCTTCTCGCCTTGCTTTTCTGATTCTTCTCTGGGGCTTGCTGCTTATTTCGGTTTTACCTTGCTTTATTCTTATTCCATATCGATACCCCGTTTATTTCCTTGATCTTTCCTTCACTTTGACTTGAGCTACGCCATTGGCCCCATCTTCGGATAGCGTCCATGGTTTTCAGTTCTATGCATGTCTTTTTATTTACTTGTGTCCTGAATCCACACTTGAACTTTGAAATTTGATTTGCCCTCTATTCTCTGATTCTGTGTGCTTTGGAATCTGTTGCACAATAAACGTGATTGCATCTTCCCTAATACCCCCTTGGATTCTCCTGATGCCGAGTATCTATCAATCAATCTATGGTCTGTAGTCGCACAGCATATAGCTATTTGAGGTGCATATATGTAGTAGTAGTTGTAGAAAGACAATGCTGGTAGGGGACAATGGAGAAAGATCCTCCAATCAAATCTACTGGGTCATCACAGCACGGTATATCTCTCCAGGTGTAAACGTTACAATGGATGTGACCAACTGGTCATACAGCTGTTTCATACTATACTACATCTACATAGGACCATAAACAGTGGAAGAAAGGAGGAAAGTAAGCGCTCAGGCGCAAGATATACGGAGAGCCATCACTGCCAGAAAGGTATCTAGCATAGCATAGCTCCAAGAGAACCCAACGCAAGGTCAAAAAGCAACTGCCAAAGGTCATGACAAACTATGTAGACAAGCAGCCAACGCCTTATTACAGCGAAAGTTATTCACCAAGCAACATGACCACCGTCTATACGGAGGTCACTAGCAGTCATGAAACTGCTAGCATTAGAAAGCAGGAAGACAGCAGCACCGCGATACTCCCGCGGACGGATAGCCGGTCTAGCATATTCTCTTTAGCAAACTGGTCGCGACGTCCGGGATAATCGACAAACAACATCTCCAACATAGGGGCGAGAATGCAGCCCGGGGAGAAGGGTGTTGACGCGGATATTATATTGGCCCCATTCGGCGGCGAGGTTGCGGGATAGTTGGATGACGGCTGCTTCGCTTGCGTTGCAGACGGGACAGATCAATCCCTGTTTTGATTTGGTTAGTAAATATTGTATGAATAGCTACATCTCATAGGGGAGTTTAGATTCGGGGATAGGGCTG